CCAAATCAGACCACTGATCAGCCCGCTATCATATGTGACCAGGCCGCTGACCAACATCCGCCATCATCACCCTCAACCATCCAACCTTCGGACCACTGCTCATCACCTCAAGCGAAACAACAACCACGTCAGTTTGATAAAGGTCGTTCGAAGGGAAAAGACCGTGGCCGTAAGGCCACGCGGAGGAATTGAAACTGCCACTGAAAACCATGTTTTTTGCTTGGAATGTGAGAGGGCTGAATGCCCGTAATAAATGAATTTTGGTCCGAAAATGGATTTTGGAACAACGGCTTTTGTTAGGAGGGATTTTGGAAACACATATACAACAAATCAACTCAGACAGAATTTGTGAGGTTTTGCCGGATGGATGGAACCACCATTGTAATTACGGAGATGATACATCAGGATGCATTTTGGTTGTCTGGCATCCTTCAGTAGTACTCTGTATATGTCAGTCCTCTGCCCAGATGGTGACCTGCAAGCTCTCACACCCGGATCTGGGTCAGTCTGTATTAGCCTCTTTTATTTATGGTAAGAATTCAACGTTGGAGCGACATGAACTTTGGCAAGAGATTCGTGATCTTTCTGTTGGCCGGCTAGCTGTTAAATGCCCGTGGATTCTACTTGGGGATTTTAATCAGATTTTACGACATTCAGAGAGATCAGATTATCCGGCTCAGATTGTGCCAACGCAGGGGATACAAGACTTCGAGGATTGTGTCTGTGAAACGGGGATATCCGACATTCCAATGAGAGGCCTCACATTCACTTGGTGTAACAACCAAGTCGGGCAACCCCTTTCCACCAAGCTAGACCGTATCATGGGTAATGCGAATTGGAGAGATCTTTTCACTGATGCCTACGCAGACTTTGGCCCTCCTGGCCCTTCGGACCATGCTACGGGGGTACTCAGATTGCCGAGCCCTCGTAATCTCCAAGACCAGGTACGAAAGCCTTTCAAATTTTTTCAGCATCTAACACTCATCCCAGAGTTTACGCAGGTCCTCAGAAATAACTGGGCAGCGGGGTCCATTTCTGGTACGAAGCAATTTGTACTCTGCCGATCTCTTAAGCTCCTTAAAGGACCATTGCGCCAGCTTAACCGATCCCACTTCAGCCTCATCTCCAAGCGAGTATGTGAGGCCAAGGAGAGATTGAATGCACTGCAGTCGGAATTGCTTACTGCGCCAACGACTAATCTCATTGAAGTAGAGCATAAATGCCGAACTGAGTGGTCCATTCTGCAGGCAGCTGAAGAAAGATTTTACAGGCAGAAATCAAGAATAAAATGGTTGCAGCTTGGGGACAAAAATACGGCTTTTTTCCATAAGACGAGCAACGCAAGGAATGCCAACAACCGAATCCACTTCTTACTTGATAACCAAGGTCGAAGATTGGAACAACAAGATGAGATCAAGGCAGAGACAATTCGGTACTTCACTGAACACATTGGGATATCAGATCCTACTGTTTGCGTTCCGCCCACGTCATGGTTTAGGGATATGTTGCACCCGAATCTCAGCTCCCAGATTCTGGCTGGCATGTCTAGGATTCCATCCTTAGAGGATATTCAGAAGACCTTGAATTTCCTGGGAAACAATAAAGCATCGGGCCCTGATGGTTATCCCAAAGAGTTTTTCGTTGAAGCTTGGGAAGTGGTGGGACCGGATGTCGTTGCAGCTGTACGTGAGTTCTTCATTAAGGGAAAACTGGTAAGACAACAAAATGCAACCGTCATTGCTTTGGTTCCAAAGAAGCCTGAGGCAGTATCACTTTCTGACTTTAGGCCGATCAGCTGTTACAACTTAGTCTACAAGATCATTTCCACCATTCTAGCTGAGCGCCTCAAGCCCATCCTCCCATCGGTGATCTCTCGGAATCAATCAGCCTTTCTTAAGGGTCGTTTAATGATGGAGAACATCCTATTAGCAACAGAACTTGTGCGGGGTTATAATTGTCGTAAGGGCCGGAAAAATGCGATGCTTAAAATAGACATAAGGAAGGCTTTTGACTCCTTACATTGGGACTTCATTTTGAGGACACTCCTGGCTCTAGGACTACCACCTATTTATATTGGTTGGGTCAAAGAATGTATCACCAATCCTATGTTCTCGGTTGCAATTAACGGTGAGCTCTGTGGCTACTTTGAAGGGGCAAGAGGGCTAAGGCAAGGTGACCCTATCTCTCCTTACCTTTTTATCTTGTCGATGGAGTTATTAACCCGAATGCTTGAAAAGGCAGCGGATGAAGCCAAATATGTCCTTCATTCCAAGTGCAGCCAACCTCGTCTCACCCATCTCTCATTCGCCGATGATGTAATGATTTTCACCGAGGCTACTCCAAATTCACTACATCAGATAATGCAGATTTTGGCTGACTTTGGCTCCTACTCTGGGCTTCGACTAAACTTGGACAAATCTGAACTTTTTACTAGCGGGATCACTGAACACGACTCTACCACACTCTGCTCAGCGCTCGGCCTTAAGCAAGGAAAACTACCTGTACGATATTTGGGCATACCGCTTAAACCGACGAGGCTATCAAAATCTGACTTCCAGCCGATTATTGATAAGATCAAAGCGAAGATAGCATCTTGGACAACCCATTTTCTCTCCCTTGCTGGTAAGGTCCAACTTGTAACGTCTTCGATCTATGGACTAGTTCATGCTTGGAGCAGCGTCTTCTTGCTACCAAAATACTTGCTTAAGATAATCAATGGTCTTTGCTCTGCATTTCTGTGGAAAAGCTCAGCACGGGCGACATGCTCCTACCGTGTTGCATGGAGCACCATTTGTACACCTCGTTCGGAGGGAGGATTAGGCCTTAGGAGCCTTGATGAATACAACACTATTTTTAGATTGAAGCTGATTTGGTTATTGCTAGCTTTGTCGGGCTCCCTATGGGTCGCATGGCTCAAGCATAATGTGTTTAAGCGTAGGGGTTTTTGGGACACCAATCCGGCTGCCCGGTTCTCTTGGAATCTTAACAAGCTGATTCGACTGAAGCAGACAGCTCGACCCTTTATTAAGGTGCAGATAGGTGATGGCCAGAACACTCATTTCTGGACCGACACTTGGTCCATGTTTGGGCCGTTAATTGATTTTATTGGTGAGCAGGGGCCCAGGCTGATGAGGTTGCACAAGAACTGCTTTGTGGTAGATGCGGTTGAGTCCGGTGAGTGGAATTTGCCGGGAGCACGGTCGGCCCGTATACAAGAGCTTCATATTTCACTAACCGGGATTTCCCCGCCTACAGAGGAAGCATGATCTGACATCACGCTTTGGAAACATGGTGATGATGATTTCAGGAGTTCTTTCTCAGCTGCAAGGACTTGGAGGTTACTCCGAAACCCATCCCCTTTGGTCGATTGGCACCCTCTTGTTTGGTTCGGCCTAGTTGTCCCCCGTTACTCTATGGTGCAATGGCAAGCCTTACTGAAGCGCTTACCTACAAAAGATCGGCTCTCTCGTTGGGGTTTGACTATAGACACTCGATGTTCCCTTTGTGACCTGGATGAGGATGAAACCCATGAACATCTGTTTTTTCTATGCCCTTTTAGCATGGTTGTCTGGTCTGTATATGCAGGAAAATGCTGGAGAAATCCTCCTACGTCCCTAGTTGATTGTGCAAGTTGGTTTAACCAACCACGACACGATGAAAATAAGCACCATTCCTTGATTGCAAAGGTGATTCTGCAGGTATCTATCCATCTGATTTGGAAGGAGAGGAATGAGCGGATATTCCGGGGAAATAAAAAGCCCCCGTCTGTGCTGCATCGCCATCTTGACAACATGGCCAGAAACATTATCCTAGCTAAACAACGACAAAAGCCGGGAAAGTTCAAGACACTTTTGGAAGATTGGTTTCATATCACGTTATGAGAGAGTATAAAACTTTTGATGTATTATCGTTTTTTGTTTACACATGGTTTCCTGTGGTTTAATTTCCGGATGTTGATCTTTGGCTTGTAAAACGTTTATTCTTTTGGTATTTATTTACATTTAACAAAAAAAAAATATCAACTCAAAAAAGGAAAATGAAAAGGATGTGACACGCACGTGAACGAGAGCAACACATGCTGTGTGGTCCCCACATAATTTTAGACTATTTTGTAATGAAACCAAATAAAGAAAAAGACGATTTCAGATGAAATACGAACGAATTCCATTTGTACTTATTAATTATGTGAGTCATCGTATTTCCAGCCGACACCTTTCTCGGCCATGCATGTTTTGTCCTTTACGCAGAGAACCTTCCAAAATATTTTGATTTTTTTGATAACAGGAATCTCACTGTTAATATTTTGAAAATTACACATATTTTATAGTTTATTATCTGAATAAAGTACCAGATATTATCGAAAACGTTACAACCATTTCGAAGATCGGATACATACCAAAATATATAGACGAAGCGATATTAAAAGGAAGAATTTCTATTTATACGTTATAGATTGATCAAGACAAACGAAAACAATTTTAATAGACAGAATATGAAAGATTGGATATATTCCTTTCAGTTTTTATTTTATTTTAATGGTATTTGATTTTTCATTTTCAAATGCAGCGATACTTCCGAACAAATTTAAAACTCTAAGAAAACAAAATAATATAAAAATATATTAATTCCTAATTTAATTTCGTAAATAAACCCATCATTTGCGTTAGTTTTTATTTTATAAATATATGGATGGTATAAAGTTTTTTGCATGCATGACTTGTAACATAATGATATAAACATTTTGCTACGTTAACTTTTTATTTAACAAAATTAATAAAAATGTGAAAGAAACTAATAAACGAGCATCTTAATAATTTTAGAAGTAAGCTTTTAACATTTTTTTTTGGAGATTTAATAAATTTAGCTTTACGAAGGTTTTGCATTATTTGTATCGACCAAATATGTAATAAAGTTGGAACTCAAACTCGTAATAATTCCTCAGAAAGCTTCCTTCCTTGTGCATGATGTGGGGCTGCCTTTGTGCACCGCGTGAAATCCTCTATAAATAGAGCTTGTTATTAAAATACCAACCAAATACAATTATACACCACACGTGATCCATCTTCAAGCAACACAACAAAGGTCTCTCTCTCTCTCTCTCTCTCTCTCTCTCTCTCTCTCTCTCTCTCTCTCTCTCTAGATATTAAGATTTAACAGAGATTCTTTTCCAGTTTCTTGGATTTTAATTCACGTTGCAGATTCTTTAATTGCCATTATTATCAATTTATTCGAATAGTTGCAGTTGCATCTATTCAGGCTCTGGCAAAGTGTCTGCGACTAGCATTCATCAAATCTAGGGTTTTGGACTATTTACTTCTGCATGGTATTCAGTTTCCATGCATTTTTTCTTATGTTATGTTCTATAGATAAGAGATTCGATAGAATAAGCTATTTTGATAATCAAAGTGTTATTATAAAAACTACAAATCTAACATTATATATATATATATATATATATATATATAAAGATTTACGAATCAAGAAGTTATCACAGGCTTTGAAAACAAATCTAACCACGGTCCATTTCCATGGTTAGGAGGCAAGATGAGTTACTGGCTTGTCCTTGTATGCATCGTCTCTGCCCTTATTCTCATCGCGAGGAAGACGGGAAAGCGTGGGAACCGTCCTCCCGGACCGCCCGCCCTTCCCATCATAGGGAACTTGCATCAATTAGGACTGAAACCACATCGTTCCCTCTTCGAATTATCGAAGAAATACGGTCCAATCATGTATCTAAAGCTCGGAAGTGTGCCTACCGTAGTGGTATCGAGCCCCGAGACTGTCAAAGAAGTACTGAAAACGTACGATGTCGAGTGTTGTACACGGCCTCATCTTGCTTGCCCTGCGAAACTCACTTACAATTACAGTGACCTGGCCTTTTCGCCTTACAATGAATACTGGAGAGAGTTGAGGAAGATGAGCACTCTCGAACTCTACACGGCGAAAAGGGTCCATTCATTTCGGTACATAAGAGGGGAAGAGGTTGCCTCATCCGATCTTTTTACGGAATCGCCAGCTGGCTTGTCCTTGTATGCATCGTCTCTGCCCTTATTCTCATCGCGAGGAAGACGGGAAAGCGTGGGAACCGTCCTCCCGGACCGCCCGCCCTTCCCATCATAGGGAACTTGCATCAATTAGGACTGAAACCACATCGTTCCCTCTTCGAATTATCGAAGAAATACGGTCCAATCATGTATCTAAAGCTCGGAAGTGTGCCTACCGTAGTGGTATCGAGCCCCGAGACTGTCAAAGAAGTACTGAAAACGTACGATGTCGAGTGTTGTACACGGCCTCATCTTGCTTGCCCTGCGAAACTCACTTACAATTACAGTGACCTGGCCTTTTCGCCTTACAATGAATACTGGAGAGAGTTGAGGAAGATGAGCACTCTCGAACTCTACACGGCGAAAAGGGTCCATTCATTTCGGTACATAAGAGGGGAAGAGGTTGCCTCATTGATAGACTTTGTCAAGGAATCGGGTTTATCGGGAACTCCGGTTAACTTTAACCGGAAGATGATGAGTTTGTCCGGGAGTGTGATTTGCAGGATCGGTTTCGGGATGAATCTTAGAGGGAGCAAACTCGGGGAAAAGTACGAAGAGGTGGTTCTCCAAGCCATGAAATTGCTAGGCGATTTTCCAGCCACGGATTTCTTCCCGTATTTTGGTTGGATCATCGATAGGATCACGGGACTGCAAAGGAATTGTGGGAAGATCTTTCAAGAGCTCGATGCGTTTTACGAACAAGCGATCAAATTGCATTTAGAAAACGAGAGTAGAGATGGCGAGGAAGATATCATCGACTCGCTCCTCAAGATGGAGAAGCAAGAGCTCGGCCTCGGCCAATTCCAACTTACCCGAAATCACATCAAAGGAATTCTTGTGGTAAGATATGAAAATTAATATCCATGTGTTAATTTTTTGTTTTTACGTAACGGTTTTTTTTATTTTTATTTTTATTTCTCTCTACCCGTTATAGAACATACTGTTGGCCGGGATAGACACTTCTGCCCAAACCGTGACATGGGCGATGACACATTTGATCACAAACCCGAGAATCATGAAGAGAGTACAAACTGAACTCAGAGAACGCATCAAGAACAAAGACAGCATCACCGAAGAAGACATGGAAAATCTCGACTACCTGAAAATGGTGGTCAAAGAAACACTCAGAATCAACCCGGTAGCGCCCCTTCTGATTCCAAGAGAGGCAATGAAAGATGTGAAGATCAACGGCTACGACGTTCCGAAGAAAACAAGGATCCAAGTCAACATATGGGCGATCCATCGCAATCCTGAGGTCTGGAAAGATCCCGAACGTTTTATCCCCGAGAGGTTTAAGGATAGTCAAATGGATTATAAAGGCCAGAACTTCGAGCTGCTGCCCTTTGGAAGTGGGAGGAGGGTATGTCCTGGTATGGGGATTGGCATGGCTTTGGTGCACTTGACACTTATGAACCTTCTTTATCGGTTCGACTGGAAGCTTCCGGAAGGAATGAAGATCGAAGAGGTCGATCTAGAAGAAGCGTACGGACTCGTGACGCCTAAGATGATACCGCTTCAACTCGTCCCCATCTCGACGCCATGGACTTAAAGCCGTTCTCATTGTTCAGGTTCTATATATAATGTTTAAACAAGTGGATATCAAGTGTGTATGTGTTCGTATGGTAATTCTCGCGTTAGAGATGTTATTATATATAATCAATATAGTTTGGTCCGTTTGGAGCGTGTTCTAAAACTTGGATCGAATCATGTAATTAAAAATGGAGCAAACCATTGGAGAAACTTATAGATAATTACATATATGCTCCTCTAGATTCATCGCTTAACGGGTATGGCCCTTGCCCTACCAAACCATTAGAGAAACAACTCTTAGACTTACCATTTTGAATTCGAAGCCAAAGTTCATAATGGATTGAAAAAGGAATCCCCAAACATAAGATTTAAAGATAATTATTTTTGCTATTTTTTCCAACGCTTTCAATGGTTTCTCAAAAATTTCATTTTGTATCTACCTATCTATGGATCTATCTCGAAGCGGACCTACATGAAATGGGGTGTGGATCACAACCCCTTAAAAACATTATTTTTTTTATAAAATTTTTAAATTTATGAATAAAATCATCAAATACCTTTATAAAAATAAAATTTGACTATATAAAATTTTATATATATATAATTATTACATTTTTATAGAATTTTTCCAAATTCGCCACTATTTCTATCTATATATTATTGATGCAATTTGAAAAGAACATCTATAGTCAGTCACTTTTATAATATACCTAAAGAGATATATCGGGTGTGTTGAATTATATAATTCAGTCACATGTGCTGGCAGTGTGGTCCACGTAACAATCTTGGATTTTTTTTAAAATAATCGTGAAGACTAATAAAAGAAAGAGGCATCAGCCACGGGTTCCATCATGCACCAGTCAGTAAAGTGTCGTGTTCTAATTCTATTTGCTATATGTAATCATCATGTGTTATTATCTTCCTCTGTAACATTCTTTATAATTGTTTTGGTTCTTGAGTAAAAGGTAACTTTTAATTTATTTTTACGGAATCGCCAGCGGGTAAATTGCATTAAAAAATAAATTCTGACACCACACGCTACCTTTCTGTGTAATTAATTCAATTGCGTAAATAATTACCCTTCAATTTTTTAATCTGATCTAAATACACGTGCTCCATTTCTGTCGCTCTTTTTTTTAGTTTATCTTTCACATATATATTTTTAATATTAACTTTTCCCACAAAACAATCGATTAGACTTTGTGTTAGATAACTTTAGATAATTTTAGAACTAAAGATTAAATAGATTAAATTTCAGTTAGATTTAAAGGAGATATATTGTATAAATTGCAAAAAGGAAACTCTCCATTTTACTCTAGAAATCTGCATAACTTGATTATATTTTCTTTTGCATCATTAGGTTAAAATCATATATGTTGTATATATACAGAATTTGTAACAACGATAGCCGAAAACATTCTTTGAACACGAGCTCCTTTGATACATATCATGGTATCAGAGTCCGACCATCAGTAAAACACGAATCCAAATCTCTGTTTCATGAATTCCGGTGACTCTTCGAACCTCGACTCGACTGAAGGTGCATCTCCAATTTTGGATTTGAACCCAACAATGGTTGTCCCACCGACTGCCTCCGAATCTGTTCCTATCATGCGGAGAACGATCTCTCCGCCAAATGACAACCCCAGACTTGTGCTTTCCCAACCTTTGCTTTGAGGTGACAACTACGACGAGTTATCCGTCGAAGTCTCGGAAGAAGTTTGGATTTGTGGGTGATACAATTCCGAAATCCGGCATCACTTCATCGAATTTCGAAGATTGGGATGCAAACAACGCCCTAATCACCTCTTGGATCAAAAACACGATGGAATATCATCTCCGCTTCGATGTTGTTCATCACGAGTATGCTCGAGACTTATGGGATTATTTGAAGCGACGGTTTGGAAAGACTCACACACCCGTCTCCTCCTTATTTGCAGTGATCTCGCGAACTGCCGACAGTTCAAATTATCGGCCGAAGCTTACTTTGGAAAATTGACCAAACTCTAGGATGATTTGGCCAATTTTCGATCTCTCCGACACTGCAAATGTTGTGACTGCACCTGTGACATTGCCACTACTCTCGAACGAGAACGGAATGAGGATCGACTCTATCAATTTCTATTGGGACTCGATAACTCCAAGTTTGGCACAATGAAGTCAAATTTGCTTTCTCGCCAGCCGCTACCGAGTATTGAGGAAGCATACAATCTAGTCTGCCAGGATAAGGATACCAAAATCATCTCTCAGCCAGTTGATGATCCACCTGAGGTCGTCCATTCAATGTTCTCGCGACTCCAAAGGCGAAACCTCGCCAAGATGACAAGGACAAATCTGTCCTCTCATGAATTGCGATCACGTGGGTCATGTTGTTGATTCCTATTTTCAACTCATTGGGTTTCCCGAATGGTGGGGAGAATGCCCACGAAATCAGATTGGGGATCGTGGCCGAGGAACGCAACCATCTGATTTCGTTCGGAATGCTGTTGTAAGAGGCAATGTGGAGCAGGTTGTATCTCATTCATTTGCTCTTCCTACTGTCGATTTTGATAAACAGCTTTTTAGTGTGATTAGTCAGCAACAATGAAACACGTTGATGACGACCCTCAATGCTACCAAAGTGGACAACCCCGACTATCTCACTGATAAGCTTTTGAAAAATCCTTGGATACTTGATACAAACTGTTGTCAATACATGATGTGTAACGACCCGAAACTGCTACGGAATATTAAAATTATCCTCACACACCAACACAAGACCTTTTAGTCCTCACTCGCACACATCCTGCAAAGTACTTCCCAGGAGGTCATCCATCTTAAGATTACTCCAAAACGAACACGTTTAATTCTGGAGTTCTCTCGAGATGGGAAACCGAAAAGGTAGATGCATCTTGTTGCTATGAGTAGCTCAATCAATTCATTTAAGTTATCTTTGACTGTATAGTCTCATACCTACACAATCCTCGAATCTCTCTCATTCCGATGGGTTCAATTCATCCCTGTACCCCCTACCCAGAAGCTCGTCACGAGCCGCTCCTTGTCCGTGCCTCTCGTACCGCCGATCACTTCCCGCCCTCCTACGGTATCCTGGACTGTAACAGGCCCACCAGCTTCCGTCTGGTTCATCCTTGAACCACACCGTACTAGGAGAGTATCGGCTCTGATACCATTTGTAACGACCCGAGATCGCTACGGAATATCATAAGTTATCCTCACACACCAATACGAGACCTTTTAGTGTGTTTTATCTTTACTCGCACACATCCCAAAAAGTACTTCCGAAGAGGTTACCCATCCTAAGACTACTCCAAAGTGAGCACACTTAATTTTGGAGTTTTCTTGAGATGAGCAACCGAAAAGGTAGATGCATTTTGTTGCTATGAGTAGCTCAATCAATTCATTTAAGTTATCTTTGACTGTGTAGTCCTATACCTACACAGTCCTCAGATCCCTTTCATTCCGGTGGATTCGATTCATCCCTATATCCCCTACCCAGAAACTCGTCAGGAGCCGCTTCTTGTCCGTGCCTCTCGTATCGATGATCACTCCTCGTGTTGGTTGTAATGCTCTAGGATGATCCGTGATATGACATTTTGACTTTGTATTGATTCATTGATTTATGAATGCATTACATTCCCGTTATATGATTGGCATGTTTGTTATATTTCGGTATCCTTGAATCATTATAGAATGATTCTAAACACCCTGGTCAGTTATCATTGTGGGAACAATGATGAATTAAGACTAGCATGAGGTGTGATCGATGCATTGGATGCATATCACAATCATGGGTACTCGTTGTGAACGAGTGACTGGTTGACCCGCATGAGATTGTCACATGGACAGAGTCATGACTTGAATCTCTTACAGCGGTTCGTTCTTGGATCCTCAGACCTGAGATGTCTAGAGTATCTGATATGAGGAGTGCGTGTCTTGACTGCGTCAAACGTCGTCTTTAACCGGATGATTATAACGGCGTTGATCAGATACGTTCACGAATCATATGGAGATAGTAGACATGCAATATGGGACTTGTCACTTCCTCAACAGGAGAGATATCGCTGGGCCCTCTCGTGGAAGTCGGACTATGAAAAACGCGTGGCCACGCTATAGATGAAGTTGCATCTATTTTATTAGTCGATTTGCCAAGACGAGAAAGCAGTTGAACTTGAAGGGTGGCTCAAACCATGCCCTTGTTCAACATATGATATCGTGAGACAAAAGATCAGAACTCGAGCTGTTACTGCCTTGGTTAGATCACCTCTAACTCAATTCAATGTGGGTAGTCATGGCGTCTTGCTAGAGGCTAACCATGACTTGTAGATCGGGAATGGTTCTCGAGGCTGCTGCCACTGGGAATGGGCCTACAGGGTCATACACCATTAGGGATGGACTTATATGTGAAGTATCGGAAAGGAAGACTTGGATATGGTCGAAAAACGGTTTTCGGATCAAATCAGAGTGTCGGAAT